TGAGCCAATCATCTCATCATAGAAGGTTGTCAGGTTAGTGAATTAAGTATTATTTTCCCTTCCTAAGTCTAGGCTGACTACTTCTGATCACCAAAGGTTATGTGAAGGTTTGTTTGAAGGGTTTTTTTTTTTTCCCCCCAAGGTTATTTTCAAGGTTATTTGCTCCACTGCCTTCCCAAAGATCCAGTTGAGGCTAAATAGCCCCAGGTTCTCTTTCTTGCCCTTCTTGATGATTTGGTAGAACCTTCAGCATCTTAATTGAAGGCATGAGGAAAAAGAACCATTTCATACAAACTTTTATGCAAAATTCTAGTTTGGCATGCAGTTATAGAGAGATTAATACAAACATACAGATTGATAGTTAATAAACAAATGAAGTTGCATACAATCTAGTTAAAAATGCCTCTTGCCATGTTGCATTCCTTAATGTGCAGCTTTCTTGTTCCTACTAATGTCAGGGACATTGTATTGCCTTGATTTAGAGGGGTTCTGAATGTCTGCTGATTAAAAACAAGCTATTAAAAGTTTTGGGTCCAGTGGTCCATCTCAAGCAAAAAGGTGTAGATGTTCCTTAAATGAGACACAATTAAATATTAGATATGTTTCACCAGATTGGAATTGTCTTTTAAAATAATATTTTAAGCAGCCCCAGATAATACTTTTTCCCTGAAACATTCTTTGATTCTCTAAACTTTTGATTTGGGCAAATGTATTTCTCTGAATTGACTGACTTCATTGGCAGAGGGCTGAAACATGCAACGGAATTAGTTTGCCTTAACAAGCAGCTTTGTGTCAGCTGAACCACAGTGACTGATGTTGAACGTGTTTTTAACCTATGGCAAATACAAGATAGAATGTATTAGCTCATACCTTAATGAAAGAGTTGAAGCAAGTGCATTTTATCTTGTATTTGTAATGACCTAAGAATGCACAGATAGTTTACTGTAGCTTGGTAAACACATGGTGTTAAACCCATGCATTAGGGCCCTAACTCTTTCATAAAACAGCAATTTGAATGAGGCAGTGACCAATCTTCTTCATTAGGTGTGTGATTTTTAAATATTTAGGAGCTTGTGACTCATTATCTGTCCACTTCTGTTCATTTTGCTGATGCTTTTGCTCCAGGACTAAATGGGGCAAAAGTGACTTTCTGAAAAGTGCAGCAAAAAGCAGTCCACAATAGACTGGCACAGATAAACGTTTGGTAGTTCTTTAGCAATAAAATACTGATGGCTAATGGCATATGTCCAGCTGATCACATTTGATGTGTTGAAATGCAGGTGCCTACAACATCTACTAGTTCTTACAGGGATGTTTCTCACCTTTCCAGTTCTACTTTGGTGAAGGATAGTTTATTCTTTTCAACCCAAGTCCTATCCTTCGACATGGTTTAGAACACTTTTTAAAGGTATTTTGTCTTCTGTATGTGTTTCTCTTGCCTCCTTCCACAGTTGACTTAATGTTGTTTTAATTTTCTCTAAACAAATTGAACATGGCAATCATTAGATTTTTTGTTTATCATGACCCCTCATTCTTCAGGGATGAGAATTTCGGCTCAGAGAGATCTCTTTATCTTACCTGCTGGAAATTTTACGGGGCTTGTTAAAGAATCAAAAGACAGGCTGAACAGCGGTTTTTGCTTCCACTCTTTGGTGGTACTTGACCTTTCTTCAGGTGGACGTATCATTTGATTTTAATTCTTCCCATGCCTTGTGCCAGCTACTCTTTTTGCTCTGTTCCCTTCTCTTTCTCATGTTTCCTGATACTGCTTCCAGTGAACTCCCCGTTGCTTCCTGTTCTCTCCTCCTTGGCTGAGTAGTGCTAATGCTGAACTTTCCTCAGATCTTTGTCCCTTCCTCTTGACACAGAGCCTTTGGATTGCAACCATCCAGCCTTTTCTTAAAGGAGCAGCTTCCAAATAACTGCTGTCTGAGTATCAGTTGATAAGGAAAAGAACTGTTGCTTTATCTCTACCCTCCAAGTATTTTTCACGGATGGCTGAGAGACAGCAAACAAACCCTGGCCTGTTAGGACTGTGCTGTAAAGATCACTGAGCGAGTGGGCTGTAGATGTTGCTGCTCATACATCAGTGGTAGAACTTTGAGTTACTACAACAGTGCTTAATTGCTTGAGAATGCAGTGAAAAGTTACTACCCTTGTTATTAGGAAAAGGAGTCCAGGAAATGTCCTGCTAGCTCAACAGACTTTAAGAAAGGGTATAACAGTCAAGGTTGATGACCAGTTGAGGTTAAAGATCATCCTCAAACACTCTTTACCATACAGGTTTTTTCATGCTTTAATGCTAGTAATTTTGATAGCTTCCAGATAGCTTCTTGAAAGCCTCACCCTCTTTTTGCCCCTCCCTCCTCATGATTCATCTGGTAGTGTCTGATAGAGCGATCTGTAAGAGCAACATGTGAATAGCAGGCATTTCATGTAGTATGCGTAGCAATAGTTTCATATCCATGTGGGTAGCTACCCTGTACTCCTCCATGGACTGACAAGTGTATCTACTAAAAGAGTGGCTCTGTTGAGCTAAAACCCTTACAGAGCAGGATTTGAGGGAAAATTTCACTGGATCATGAAAAGGTGAGGAGAGATGTGTGCCCAACATGAAAAGGGCAAAGGCAATTGAAGGGCGATACGGAAATCAACATGTTTGGGGAGGAGAAGAATAACGGTAGGTCATTTCCGTATCATGAAGGCGACAGGTTCTCTTTGAACTGTTTCTATGGAGGATACTCATATGTATTATGTATGAGTAGACATAGGTATATTAGTGCCTGGTAGGTCAGTCCAGTTATAGCCTAAACATTCAACATTTGCTTGTACATAGTCTTAAATCAGTGAGAAATTATATCAGGCTTGTAATGGTTCCCATTACTTTTTCTTTCTCTCTTGTTCTAACAGCACATTATATTATACTTTTATTTTATAATTACATACATTAAACATATAACAATCATATTTTTGCTTTTAGTATTTTCTGACTGATGTTTACCTATGACTTTTATGGGTCTTTTGATACTTTATAAAGCCCTCAGTTAACAAGTATTTATACACTAGAAAATTGACTAGTTTTGAACTTTTTTAGCAGCATTTCAGCAAGCGGTACCTGTGTGTAAACAATATTAAATGCAAGAGTATAAAGCTAATGTGGTAGCAGAGGAAAATGGATTTTTTTTTTCCTTTTTCTAGATAAGATGCTGTGATATGAAATATTGCATATTTTTTCTAATATCATAAATTATAAGCTTGAAAGACTAAAGGATTTAAATATGTCCTTTCAATGAAAGGCTAAGCAGTATAAAAGGAAAAGAAAATAGTAAAATGGAATTACCATTACTCCTTTTTCTCTTTCTGATCCTTGAAGCAGTAAGGCCATAAAATTCTGGTGATGCTGTATCTATTTAGTAATAAACTACGTGAAAGATTATATATATCTTTCGAGGGCAAAAGAAGGCTAGCATTCTTTTTTTATTCTTAATTATTATTTGTACAGCTCTTGATAGGAATTTAGAACCAAGATGTGTGTTTCCTTATTGGAAACGAAGCTTGCCAAGCACAGTGAAACCATTTTTTTTGATAAGTACTCACACTTAAACAGAGTATTTTTCTTGTGCACGTAAACATTTTAGTGTTGCAGCTCAGACTAGGATAAGAAAGTGAAACTAGCAAAGTCTCAGCCAACACTGTGGACTAAATTCACTTGGATGCATGCTGCAGGATTCATTCAGGCTGGCTAAGTCTCAATGCCATGTTAGAGAAGAGTAAGCTGTGTGCTGTATTTTGCATATCCAGGTTTTATTCTAAAGGAAGTCAGAGTGCAGCATCAGAAGGAAGCTGCAATATGCTCCGGTAACTTCCTTACCAGGAGTGATCACAGGATCAGTGCAGAAGGACAAACCAGAGCCTTTCTTTCTATGTCCTGTGGGCTCTGCCAAAGAGACAAAATTTGTTTCACAGAGCTGAATGAGTTGTAAGACAAGCTGCTTACTTGTTGCTAAATACCAAGTTATTCTGTTGGTTTACTGTAGTGCCATAAAACAGATAAGGAGAAACTTAACTACATCTTTTTTAGATTGATGGCTATTTACAATACCAAGTTGGTTGACTACGCAAATCTGTGCTAAGCATTGCAGGATGTTAAATCTAATTCTTAATAGTCTATTCTGAAAAAGCATGCTTTGGTAAAGAAAGGTAAGTGCAATTTACCTTTTCTTTACTGAGTAAGAAACAAAAGCATACTACATCAGTCCTTAGACTCTTTAATCCTTAACCATCCGGGGGTCTGTTCTGAAACATTGACCTTTTCTGTTGTTCCAACTTAATGAAGATACTTTCCACCCCCCCCCCCCT